TATATATATATATATATATATATAGATGTATATGAAGCAAGACAACTGCTAATTAGTCCCCACAGCAGTACAAAGGGCCCAGTTCAACTCACTTCCATGGAATAGTTAATATACTGAAAGTCCTTCAACTCACAAGGCTGCTATGTCCTCTGTAGAGCAATGCAGGCAGTCTGGCCACAGGCAGCAAACAGCAGGGCGGGTCACCAACAGTCAGCCAAACGACAGGATCCAACAGTCCCCAGCTCAATCGATGCACACACCAGCAGCGTGGTGAAGCAGGTCTCCAAGGAACCTCAAGCTCTAGGGACATGATCCATGGGTTGGGTGTCCCACAGGTAGTGTAGCTCACAAGTTGAGGCAGAAAACTAGCTAAGGCAGCTGCACACTGGTCTGATCACCAGAGAGCGAGAGAGAGAGAGAGAGCGAGAGCGAGAGCGAGAGCGAGAGAGAGAGAGAGAGAGAGAGAGAGAGAGAGGTGGGGCTTGCCAAGCCATTTATCTCTTTGCCCTCCAATCAAACTGCGACCTTGTTAATCCCACATGTTCTTATTGGCCAGGTTGGCACAATAAACCTACCTATCACACCCTCATTCCATGTCCTCTCCTGAATCTGGCTTGAATTTCTGGCATCTATCTGTAAATATACTGCTGCAACCATTTAAAAATTATTTTCAGCAAAATTTTACATGCTAAGATAATAATGATATTATTCTATAATTTCTACATTCTATGGGATCACCTTTCATGGAAATTGGCACAGATGTGGATCTTTTCTAGTTAATTGGCCAGGTAGCTGTCTTCCAAATTTCTTGGTATAGACAAATGAGTGTTTCCAGCACTGCGTTAGTTTTTTGAAACATTTCGCTTTTTGTGTTCCATCAATTCCTGGAGCCTTTATTTTTAACGGCTTTCGGTACAGCTTCAACTTTTTCTTTCAGTAGCGTCATTCCCTGTCATATGCCACCTCTTGAAATGGCTGAATGTCAGCCACTTTCTTTTGGCACAATGATTCTGTGTATTTCTCCCATCTTCTTTTAATGCTGTCTGCATCATTCAGTATTTTACTCTTGGAATCGTTCAGTATTGTGCCTTGAAGCTTAAATACTTTTCTTAAATTCTTTCAGCTGGATATAGGTTGACTGTGTTCTTCCCTCTTTGTTTCCTAACTCCGGTTCTTACACATCTCATTATAATGCTTTGCTTCATCAAACAGCCTTCTGACACTTTCTGCTCAGCTTTTTACGTCATCCTTTCTTCTGTTTGCTTTAGCTAGTTTCATGTTCAAGAGTAAGTTTTAGATTTTTGTATTTAATTTTTTATTGTTAATGAGGTTAAGGTTTCCAGAGTAGATCATAGTTTTACATTCAGTAATTCATATCCATTCTGACTCAACTCGTCTATTGCAATCCTCTCAGTAGACCCTCACTTAGTCCACTTCCTCTCCGTGTTTCCTGTGTCCGTTCTTCCATCCTTCCTAACCATCTGAACCTTGTCTTTGGGTCAGTACTGCCTTTTTAATCTTAAATGGTTGATTATTCTATCACAGAGTGGGGCTCACTTCCAGACCTAAAGAGTAAGAGTCATGATTTTTATGCATTCCATTTCATTTTTTACAACTTCCAATTTCCCCAGATTCAGACTTGGTACATACCACATTCTGATAATTAATGAATGCTTCCGGCTATTGTCATTTTGAGTCATACCCCATCAGCAAATGAAGGTCCCTAAAGCTTTGCTCCATCCACATCATTAGAATTTACTTTGAGGAGGCAGTTCTACCTCTGTCATGTTCTGAGTGCCTTCCACCCTGAGGGTCTCATCGTCTGGCGCTGTATCAAACAATGTTCCACTGCTCGTCATAGGTTTCAGTGGCTCGGTGTCCTGAATTAGACAACTTCTTCCTTCTTCCTAGTTCATTCTTGTCCCTATAAGCTAAGCTGAAACTTGTTCACCATGGGTGATGCTGCAGGTATTTGAAATGCCATCGGCAACATCACAGCAACACATAATCCACCACCGTATACAAAACTGACAGACCAGAACGGGGGTCTCTTTCTTTATTAACACATAGAAATCTCCCTTGTTTTTTGACTGGTTACAGTGACTCCTATTAAATGGGTGCTTCAAAGACTTGAGTTATTTCTAACAATTTACTGTTAATAAGCAGCAGTCTGATCATTTCACTCCTGGATAGAGAAACCTCCATTTCTCTCTCTTTCCAAATCTGTTTTGTCATTTGGCAACCTGGAAATTCTGACTGAAGATCTTTTGGGTCTAGAACTGAAAAAGACAACCTTCATTTGTTAGAAGCCATATACGAATTGTGTCTGAAAGATATTATTTTTCCTTAGCCCAAGATTCTTAGACCTGCTCTACTGCCAGGAGAAGAAATGGTTTATGAAGGTCTTCGAGTTCTGCTGGATCCTGATGGAAGGGAGGAGGCCACCGGAGGCCTTCTTGGCGGCCCCCAGCTGCTGCCCGCAGAAGGAGCCTTGTTCCTCACCACGTACAGAATTCTCTTCAGAGGAACCCCCCATGACCAGCTAGGTATGGATCAGAATATGCCATCAGTGCATGGGTATGTGTGTGGTATAGGACATTTTGATTCTGTCTGTGGACTATGATTTACAGATCACGTCAGATTCAAAAGAAACCTTTTGCCAACTATTGTTTTCATTTGTCAACAGGTAATGTATACTTAGAGAACTAAAGGTATTTTCTAAACAGTAAATCAAGAGGGATTCATTCGATGAACTGTTCATCATTTCACGTGAAGTAAGGATATTCACAGGGCCCAGCTGCTAAATATGCTGACTTGTCCCAGCTCTCTAGGGCCTGCAGTTAACTGTAAAGCTAAGGTCTTCCAGGTACCACTGTTGAGTCCGTGGGTCTTGTCTCCCTTCAGTCGGTGAGCAGACAGTTGTGCGGAGCTTTCCCATTGCCTCCATCACCAAGGAGAAGAAGATCACGATCCAGAACCAGCTACAGCAGAACATGCAAGAAGGGCTTCAGATCACGTCTGCATCGTTTCAGGTTTGTAGGAAAGGGAGCAAGTCTCATGCTCAAAAGTTCTCAAAACTGTTCATGTATTCCTTTTCTGTGGTTAGACGATGAGGATGAGGAAGTCCAAGAGAGTAAACTTATCGATAAACTAAACTAAACTCACTGCCACTCAGTCTATTTCGACTCGTGGCAAACCATTGGACAGGGTAGAACTGCTGCTGTGGGTTTCTGAGACTCTAGTTCTTTACCAAAGTAGAAAGCCTCATCTTTCTCCCATGCAGTGGATGGAGGTTTCAAACTGCTGGCTTTATGGTTAGCAGGCTGACTTCATAACCACTACGTGACCAAGACTCCAAACTCAGCAACTGTCTTGGTTAATCTCTCAATTCCTGAGCTGTTAGTGAACTCAAGAGGACCAGTATATTCTCAACATTTAATAATCATAGAAATTCAAACACACACACACAATTGGCTTTTGTTCTCTGTCAAGTTATACCTCAACTCATGTTTGACAAAGACCTTAGATAAAAAGAAATTCTTTGGGGCTCTTCTGTGGAAGAGAGATGAAACTCTGAGAAGCATGTGTAGGATTAAAGTCCAGTAGGCACTAACTGTATCCAAACCAACCAGCTGCCATCGAGTCAGTCCCAGTGGAACTGTATGTCAGGGTGGCACTGTGTGTCAATCACCCAACCTTCCCCCTGGGGGGCCCTGACTTAACTTGAGCAGCAGAGCTCAGTCGCCGTTTGCACCAGGCGGGGCCTGGTAGCTGAATAACCTTTGGTAAAATAGGGGTTTTTTTCCTAGGGACTTGTCATCATACCCAAACTTGTGGATATTCTTAGCAAATGAAACACTGGAAGAAATCATTTTCATCTGTTATTTTTTTGTTTTTAAAAGAACTGCCATGCTGTGATGTTTGGCTTTAGAAAATTCCTCATGCTTTGTCTCTGTCTTCTCAGATTTGCAAGGACTGTGATTTTTTTTTTAACCTCATTCGGTCCAGTAAAGTACTTCCTAGTTAGTCCCTCGCTAACTGAAATATGAGGTACTAACCTTCTCCCATCAGAGCAGTGACTCCCTAGGGATATCCTCACTCTTCCCATTGCCAGAGAGCTATAAACTATATCTCATGGCGATGCAAGGTAGAATTCTAGTCAAATTGGATTGCTTTCTCCGTAGATTTGTAGTATATCAAGCAGAAAGAGATCTCATTAGGCTAAACTCCCCATCCAAAACTGAGAAGCGAGAAGGGCATGTTTGTTCCCTCAGCCACTACAAGTTTATTTTCCCACCCTTTGGTAGAAGAGAGAGTTTTAGAGAAAACCCACCTTGAGAATCCATGAGTCATCTTGCAAGTAATGCTTTCTGAGTCTCACTTTTAAAAAAATTTTAGAGTCAAAATTGGGTTTAATAATTTCCAAGGCCCCTCAACTTCCAGAACCTTCCATTTGGAATTGTTATTTTCTGTTATTTCAGTGATGCAGGCAAAAGCCGCCTAGAAATCCTTGATGCTTCTGATGTGCGTAATCTCTTTTGTCTCCAAGTTGATTAAGGTAGCATTTGATGAGGAAGTGAGTCCGGAAGTAGTCGAGATCTTCAAGAAGCAGCTGATGAAGTTCCGCTATCCCCAGTCCATTTTCAGCACCTTTGCTTTTGCTGCTGGACAAACTACCCCCCAAATAGTCTTACCCAAACAGAAGGAAAAGAACACCTCCTTTCGGTAAGAGGAAAGAAAGTGTCTTCATTCCAGCCCTCCATGTCTTGACTGGCTGGCCAGAGCCCGCCCTTTGTGTCCCTGTGATGGCTCTTGGGTTCGCCACTGGGTCAGGCTCCTGTGGTTATGCAACAGCCGCAGTGATACCCAGAACAAGTTTCTCAAACCGAAATCCACAAGAGGCTCCGACTGTCATCGTGCCCGTTTCTCAAGATGCATTTGCAGAGTGGGAAACCCTGCTTTCCCTTCCGCTTCCATGAATAGGCAGGCTCAGCTCAAAGTTTTGCTTTGGTCTGGAGATCGGAGCCTTTCTTCTCTTGTTTTTAATAATGTTTTCCCAGGAACAAAGATAGTGCCTTATATAACAACCGTGTAGTCATCAAAACCAGGAAAGTGAATTGATATAAAACTCTTGTCTAAGAGAGTTCATATTTTTCATTTTAAATTAATTGAACTCAATAATGTCCTTTTTGTGGGGGTGGAGCCTGGGTGGGGTGTCCTGGTTTAGGACCCAATTCAGGATTGGGCATTACATTTAGTTATCATGTTTCTTTAGTAGAGTTCTTCTTTTCAGATGAAAGTTTTTAGAAATTTACATTAAAATTTTAGGTTTTCAACTATTATAAAATAACAGTTGTTTCAAAATTCCCAAGACGTTAAAATGTTAATTCATTTTCATCATTAATCGAACACCTAGCATTTGGGCACCTGCCAGTACAAATTATATATTAGGAAGAACTTTGCAGACTTTGGGAAAGGACCCTTCCTTAGTCTTTGTGGGGCAGACTGGGGATTAGAGAGGATTTCAGAATCCAGACAGTGTGTCATTTCTCATTTTCGTAGCTGGCCACTTGTACCACTGCTACCTGGTAAGCAGAGGAGAATATCGAGGTACAGGCACAAACAGCCTCTTAGATATTTACAGAAGTGAATCAAGCTTCCTTCCTAGTACTGTGGGGTCACAGAGGAGCCCACGATACTTGTCATTTCTGCCATCTGGGATGGAAACAAAACTCGGTGTGCTGTTTTAAGGTTAGAAACTGTCAGATAGATGGACACATAGATTGATAACTGGGCTTTGTATCAAGCTGCAATAGGGGATATAACAATTAAAATTGTTAAGCATTCTAGAATTTCCTGAGTATATGAATCATTGGCTGGGATTTTTTTTTTTTTTTTTCAGAAATCCCTCTTGAGTTTCTGTTATGTTATACCTGAAGTGATTTATAATTGGTTCAATTATGAAAACTGTAGTATTTTATTATTTCTAACAGTTATCTAAAGCATCTTTCATAACCCTCAGGTTTATATTTCAGATGACGAAAGATGGGGGTCTGATAAAACTATCTGACAATAAGAGAATAATAAAAAAATAATCTTACAGTCTTCACCTCACTGCCACCAGTCAAGAAATAACTTCTTTGTTTAGTTCTCTGAGTTATAAATACTCTTGTACACAGATATTCTATCAACCAGGAAAAAACAACAATTTGAATAAATACAGTGCTTTTAGTCTATGTGATTTTGCATCGGAATTTCCCATTATTTAAAACTGATTGTCAAAAGAATATGCTACATTTCCAGTTTCTTAGTTTTTACCTCTCAGAAAAGGAAATAACATTTTGAAATATTGTTGTTTTCTAGACTTCATAAGGTTTATCGCTAATTAGAGGCAAGACACCACATATGCACACTTGAAACATTTAAACAAAAACTTGAAACATTTAAGATGGTTGGCATTGCCCTGAGTGCTCGTGGCAAAGAGTTGGGGTCAGTAGGAAAGGGAGCAGGCCAGCTTTCTGTGCAGGAGCCCTTCCTCGGACAAAGTCTGTGGGAGTTGTGGTGCAGGGATGGAGCAGGAATAACCAGGTGGGGCTGGGCATATACTTAACCAGAAAGCCAAACTGAGGTGTGTAGATTGGGGATGACAAACATTCTGTGTCCCACTCAGGTTCTTGTCCAAAGCAGAGTCTTAGTGTCAGTGATGTTTTGTAGGAAACTAGTTTGCTAGGTATGTAAAGATTGGTTTGGGCAATATATAAAGATTGATCCTAGGATATGTGAAGATTGCTCTAAAGAAAGAAGCTTCGTGAAGGTCTGGAGAATGCCAGTGAGGAGAAATGGAAAAGAACTAGCTTGAGCTATGCAGGTATCAAAAATCTGTCCGTGGCACCTTCCTAGTAAATGGACATGCCCTTCCTTTTTTGTGTTTTGCTCGTAGCACCTTCTCAAAAACAATTGTGAAAGGTGCCAAGCGGGCGGGGAAAATGACAATTGGGCGGCAGTATTTATTGAAGAGGAGAACGGGGACAATTGTCGAAGAGAGAGTGAATCGTCCTGGGTGGAATGAGGAAGATGATATATCCGGTATGTATGAAATCTTTTTTTCCTTTATTATTCAGTTGTATTCTTATTGTCCCATGGAACTGAGCACCTGAATCATCAAATTGTATTGAAACATAGATCTCATGAGAATGCTTTGAGGTGCTTTCAAGCTTCTCAAAACTGAGGGTAAAAAAAATATTATTTTCTCAATATTATATTTTTCACATAAAGTTCTGTTCATTTTGTACTTTTCCCTTATTGATTCCATGGGGCTGGTTGACTATTTCTAACTGTGTCTTGTGGGAGAGAGGAAAAGGGACACCCTCTGCATACAACTGTAGTTACTGGGCTGCCCTCTGTCCCTTGTTCCTGTGCAACTGGAGTGAGGATGTTGACTATCCTCACACAAGTACAGATTTGAGGTTTTAATAAGAGCATTATAGATGAGCCTAATCAAGATAGGGGACCTAAAGTGAGAACATTCTTAGATGATACAGCAACAGAAATTTAAAAGAACTGTATTTAGAAGCTGAGAATACCTCTTGTTTGGGAAAGAGGCTGAAAGGAACAAAAGAATGCCTTATTTAATTATTGTTTGCTCCTCTTAGCCCAGAAGCTAGTACACATGTGAAATGAGTGACTACCCAGAGTTAGATCTAATCGGAGGCAGAACGAAGGCGGGCGTACTCTCAGATTGAGTCCTCAGTTTCTCAGATCAATTCAGTTTCTCAGAATCAATCCTCAGTGACTTTATAATACGCATAACAACAACAATAAAATACAGTTTCAGAAAAAGAAACCTCATATCTATAGATACTGCTGGCTAAAAGGTCTCTCTCTCTCCCATGAGCGGGAACAAAGAACTGATGTCATTTAACGTGTATATGTGCCTATGTGAGTATGTGTGCTTACAAGCTTGCCTCTGGGTGCAGTGACAAGACCTACCAAGTATGACTAAAGTCACTCCTGTTGGGGCCGAGAGCACCTTTCAGACATAGAAGAAACCACTAAAGAATCGTTGCTTCTCTCCACTGTTGATGGTTTCATGAAACAAACAGACCAAAATAGCGTTCTGTGATATTGATTACACAAAAGACCAAACTGTACCATTCCCTTTGCTCTTCTGAAAACAACACAAAACTAACCCTTATTATATTACCTTGTGAAGGGTACAAACATAAACATATAGTCCTGATGTATAAGAATCCCTGATCGTTTAGTCTTTTTTTTAATGGATGATAGCCGTATCTTTTCCTTGACTGCTAGTCCTGTAGGTCCATTTCCAAAGACTTTGAAAACTTGATCTGACTTCTCTCACTTTAAAAATAAATGTAAAAGTAAATTAGGGCAGTTGATAACATGGGCTTTTTTTAGTTAGAACATGCAGTACCAATTAGGAATGTTTTTTTTAATCCTCCCTAAAATACTTGATTATTGGGTAAATTTTTCCTACATCTACACTCTTAAAAGGTTCTGTAACCTGAGATTGCTCAACAGTGAGGGAGTTTTCCATGTGTATCACATCCTCTGACAACAATAAGCTGAAACCTGACAAAAACCCTAGGAAAGACTCATTTTACTGTCAGGTTAGGCCCTGACACCGTCTTGGTGTTTTCTTGTACAGGCCTAAGTACAAGTCACAGGAATTCGACATGAATAAGCAAATGTGAAGGAGTCTTGACGGCTTAGTGGTTATGCGCTGGGCTGCTAACCACAAGTTCAGCAGTTCAAAACCACCATTGGCTCCTTCGGAGAAAGATGAGGCTTTCTACTCCCATAAAGATGTTCAGTCTCAGAAACCCCTGTCCTGTAGGGTCACTGTGAGTTGGCATCAACTCAATCAATGTCAGCGATTGAAACAGAAGAATGTGAGTAGTGAATTAGAAGCTATATTGCTTGAGATTAAATGGTTAGATGGTGGTGTTTTCCTGATGTTTTTAGTTAACACATTGAACTCCTGATATTTTATGTCTTGACCATAGCCCTAATACAAACCTCTTCAAGAGGAAATCTTTAACTTTGAGCTGTGTCATTTCTGCACATGGGCTTCTCTCCCGCCAGTTTCAGACGACAGCGAACTCCCCACGAGCACCACGCTGAGGGCCTCTGAGAAGTCAACCATGGAGCGGCTGGTGGAGAAGGCCTGTTTCAGAGACTACCAGCGCTTAGGCTTGGGGACCATCAGTGGCAGCTCCTCCCGCTCAAAGCCCGAGTATTTTCGGATCACCGCCTCCAACAGGATGTATTCACTGTGCCGGAGGTGAGTGCTGCTGGTAGACTTCAAAGAGACTCCCCTTCCTTCCACTGGTGTCTTGACTGAGCTGGTTGTACCCATAGCCCAGCTACAGAGTAAAACGTCACCAAGCAGGAGCACGGCTTCCTGGGCTATGTTAGTTTAAGAAATATATTTCATTCAGGGAGAGCAAACATCGCAGCGGGATTCTGAGAAGGACATGAGGGCCTGTTCCGGCAGAAGTGGAAGATAAAGTTCTTGTCCACTGTGGAAATTGCCCTTCAGCTAGGATGCCTATAGAGAGCTTGAAGGAAGAGTAGGATTTGGCCAGGCAGATAGGAGAATCTGGCGTAGGACAGGGGTCTGCAAGCTCATTCTGTAAAGGGCCAGATAGAAAATCGTTTCCGTTTTATATGCCGTAGGTCATGTAAAACCATCACAACGGCCACAACTACTCAAATCTGCAAAAGCAGCTAGCCAGAGTAACTAGATGGATGGGCGTGGCCAGATTTGCCCCACAGGCTGTAATTTGCTGACCCGGGGGTAGACAAGGTTTTCTTACGCTGTCTAATTAAAACATTTTCAAGAGAATATTGCTTAAAGCATGTTAATGAACACATTTTCTTCTTTCTATTCTTATCTCATTGTTTTTCAAATCTATGAAAAAACCCATGCTTTATCATATGTAAATATCTTTTTTTTTTAACTGCCTTTAGTCATTTTCATCTCCCACATCGGCTGTTGTTTGTACTTAGGACTTCTTGTTTTGAGTAAAGAGAATAATGGCAAGAAAGTGCTTTGCAAATTGTAAGTCTTTACTCAGTTTAGAAAGTTATCTTAATAACTTGTTTCAGCCCCTCTGTTCTTGAAGAACTCTAGACACTTCATTTTAAATGATGATTTAAATTTACAAACATCATTGTGAAACTTGAACAGCAAGTTGGGAATGTCGTTTTAAATTATAGCCAAGTAAGCATTTTTTATTAAATACTGAAAGAGACTGAACCGAGCATGCAGTGATTTTTCTTGGATTTTTTGACATTCTGAATAAATACTCTGTAGCTAAGTATAAGTGGTAGTGGGTGAAGACGGGGTCCTGCTGTGTTTGAGAAGCGTGCTATCAAAACCATGCTTGCCAGTCAGAGGACAGACCTCATTTATCATTTCAGTGTGACAGAAGCAAAACACAATATTAATAGAGTCTTGCTTAGAGCACTTGTTATAAAGCATTTGTGGTGGTGTAAAATAGCAATACTCATGATACGTGGAGAAAACCGTGATGTTGTCAAGATTTCCTTTTACTTGGCTCTACCACCAAAGCCAGTGGGAGCACCACTCAAGAAATCAAACAATGAATTGGACTGGGCAGATCTACTGCAAAAGACGTGTTTAACCTGTTAAAAAGCAAAGCTACCACCTGGAAGCCTGGGTCCACCTTATCTAAGGTATTTCCAGTCACAAAGAAAATGGATGCATTTGAATGATGGTATTGGCAAAGAAGATTTATATACTAAGGACAGCCAGAAGAATAAATAACCTGTGCTTCTAGAAGTGTCGACCGAATGCTCATAGAAGCAAGGACCACCCTATTTGGTAAGATAGAAGGTTGAAGAAGAGGAAAAAGAGGAAACCCCAACAAGATGAATGCCCCAGTGACTAGCTCAGTGCAGCGGACTCGCACATAGCAGCCGTCGTGAGGGTGATGATGGACCGGAGTGTTTCCTTCTGCGGTTCACAGAGGTCATGGGCAACGTCGGGACCAATTCAACAAGCCTCCCCAACAACGAAACAGTCATCCATCTCCCTCCAGCTACGAGAAGGAAGGAAGTGGGATAAGTTTTAAAACTCCAAAAGAAGGCAAGGAAGGAGGGAAAGCCAGGTTAAAACAGATGGGACAAGTGAAAGCAAGTGGTATGATGGTGTATTTAAATTCAGAGGGATCGGTAATTGTATTCATCATAAATGAACCAAGTACTTAAAATAAAAGACAAAGATTATAAGAATATAGCTTTATGCTGCTTCTAAGGGAGATATGTAAAATAAGGAGGGTACAAAAATATTGAAAGTAAAATACCTTAAAATGGATGACAGCATCTGTACTATAATCCCAGTTGATTTTAAAGTGAAAACTATTACAAGAGATAACGAAGAAAAAATGTTCATTTCACACAAAAAATAATTCATTATGACCAAGGAGATTTACCGAAGGAACATAGAACTGACTTAATATTTGAAAAAATTCAGTGTCATTCAATAGACTAACAAAAGAAAAAGAAAAATACATACTACATGTCTTATATTTAGGAAAACATTTTATAAAATGTAATATGCAGTAATTATTTTTTTAAATCATTTTATTAGGGGCTCATACAACTCTTAACACAATCCATACACACATCAATTGTGTGAAGTGCATTGGTACATTCATTGCCCTCATCATGCTCAAAACATTTTCTCTCCACTTAAGCCCCCGGCATTAGGTCCTCATTTTTCCCCTCCCTCCCCGCTCCCCCCTCCCTCATGAGCCCTTGATAGTTTATAAATTGTTATTGCATTAATGATTTTTAAATGACTTCTTTAAACTCTTTTGTTGTTGTGAGGTGTCATTAAGTGAATTTCCACTTTCAGTGATCTTGTTTACAATAGAAACACTGGCTGGTCTTGGGCCATCTTCACAATTGTGGTATTTGAACCTGTCGTTGCAGCCACCATGTCACTCCATCTTGTAGAGAGTCTTGCTCTTTGCATTAGACCTCTACGTAACCAAGCCTGATGTCCCACACTGGAGACGGGTCCCTCTGGTCACCTGTCCAAAGGACCCCAGATGAAGTCTCGCTGCCCTCCCTTTCTAAGAAGTACTTTGGTTGTACTTCCTTGCAAACAGATCTGTTCATTTTTTGGTCAGCACTTGGCATATTCAATATTCTTTGCCATCATTAGAAGTCAAGTACTTCGATTTGTCTTTGGTCGTCCTTATTCATTGGTCAACGTTCACATGTATATGAAGCAATTGAAAATGCTATGGCTTAGGTCAGGAGCACATTAGTCTTCAAAGTGACATTTTCCCATTTTGAAGTGGACTTGCCCAATGGAATCTGTCATTTGATTTCTTGACTGCTCCTTCTGTGGGATCCCTGGTGGCATAGTGGTTTGTGTGTGGGCCTGCTAACCACAAGGTCAGTAGTTGAAAACCACCAGCCACTCCACAGGAGCAAGATGGGGCTTTTCTACAACCATAGAAATGTACAGTCTCAAAAACCTGCACCTCTACCCTGCCCTGTCCGGCTGCAGTGCTCAGGAATAGACTCAGTGTCAGTGAGAGAAGCTTCTGTGGGCCCCGACTAGGGAGCTAAGTAAAATGAAACCCTGAAAACCCCCATATTTTCTTCAGTTGTCCTGAGGTTGCTTATTGGTCTGGTTGTAAGGATTTTACTGAGGTACATCCCATCCTGAAAGCTGTAGGGTTTAATCTTCACCCTAGTTCCTTTAAGTCCCTTTTGCTTTCAGCAGGCTAAATTATCATCTGAATACAGAATTTTGTTCATGAGTCATAGTGAAGCATCTCCGATTATTTGCTCAGCATACAGAATGAATAAACAGGGTGAAAAGATACAACCCTACCTTTCCTGATTTTAAACTGCAGTATCCCCTTATCTGCTTCAACAACTGCCTCTTGTTCATATACTTAAGAATCTAATATTTCATGAAAACTACATAATCAAATAGTTAGAGATAAATCTAGTGAAAGATATGCAAAATCTCTCCACAATATTGAGAATAATTAAATATCTAAATAAATAGATAAATCATGTTTTTGGATTAGAAGACTCAGTATCTTAAATTACCATTTCCCCCCACACTGATCTAAAAAGATAATTCCAAAAGTTATAGGAAAAGGTCAAGTATAGTTAAGAAAGTATTTTTTTTATCAGAATTTTATTTTATTATTGAAAGATTTTATTGGGGGCTCTTACAGCTCTTATAACAATTCATACATCAGTTTTAGCAAGCATATTTGTACATGTGTTGCCATCATCATTTTCTAAACATTTACTTTCTATTTGAGCCCTTGGTATCAGCTCTTCTTTTTTCCCTCCCTGGCCCCCCCCCCTCGTGACCTCTTGATAACTTATAAATTATTATTATTTCCATATCTTACACCGACCGCTGTCTCCCTTCACCCACGGTTCTGTTGTCGTCCCCCCTGGGGGCGGGGAGAGGGTATGCATCAATCATTGCAATCAGTCCCCCTTCCTCCCCTCCTCCCTCTACCTTACCCCTACCCTCTTGGTATCACTACTTCCATTTCTGTTCCTGAGGGGTTATCTGACCTGGATTCTGTGTGTCGTGAGCTCTCATCTGTACCAGTGCACATGCTCCGGTCTAGCCAGAACTGAAGGGCAGGACTGGGGTCATGATGGTGGGGGATAAGGAAGCCTCAAAGAACCAGAGGAATATTGTATGTTTTATTGGTGCTATACTGCACCCTGGTTGACTCATCCCTTCCTTGTGACCCTTCTGTGAGGGGCTCCCATATTATCTACAGATGGCTTTGGGGTCTCTGCTCCAACCCTGAGAAAGTCTTCATAGAATAATGCTAGCAGTCATCAAGACTTTTATATAAAACTACAGCAATTAACACAACATGGATTTGGCACATGGATTGGCAAATAGACCAGTGGAACAGTATTATTCTTAATAACCAAAAAATTTAAACTATACCAATTCCATCTACCGATTAGATAAACCGCACTTCTACAGCACTGAAAATTAACAGAGCACAGCTATATGCACTAGCATGGATGGATCACACAAACGTGCAAATGAAGCCAGACACAGAAGAGTACATACCTTTTTAAAAAAAACAACTTTAAATTATGCACGTTTCCCTTGTGGAAACTTCAAAGTGAGATGTTCATTTTCATTCTAGACAAGTATTTCCTAGACATGCTAATAATGATTGGCTTGTAGTGGATCATTATTTCATATTTGAGATACCAACCTCTGTAAACCAGCTATAGCAACTTTCTCCGTTCGTTGTTGGCCAAGTTCAGCGAGCTGATTTGTGCACAGGGTGAGAAGTGCAGGAATGAGGTACCAATTTTGAAAGCCCATGATACCAAGATAGAAATAGAGTTTACACCCACATAAGACACTGAATATTACCACCAGATAGAAAATGAGTGCAATATGACAGCCAGGATAGCAAGGCTTTTAATACATTTATATTTGACACCTGACCATATTATCAGTCACCATAAGATCTTCTCTCCTGCTTTTAAAAACAGAGTATGTTAATTTCTGTAGAAAAGCTTCCTCCCCTCCCCCGCCCATACAAAAACCAAGTCATGGCCAGCAAACCACAGCAGTGCAATAGGTCAAGGGCAGGACGGCACATTGAACAGGTGATGACAATAAATACTCAGGAGGAAGAGTATTCGTGGGGAGTTGATTTTTACCACCTGAGAGATGCGGGGGAGGGTTGTTTACATTATCATGAGATCTTGACCTGTCTCATGAATGCTGTTTACTTTGGCAGTGCAGTTGGGACAGCTACCTCAAACAGCCCAGCCCCCCCTCAGTATGAAGCACACAAAGCCAAAGGAGGAGAGGGCAGTCGGAGCGATCATTAGAGGGCAGTTGTTGTTTCCGTCACTCACTTGAGATAACTGGCTCCCGGTAGGCTCACTGATGTGACATGAATCATTTCAAACTTGTTTAGAAGCATATTTAAGAGGACTTCAAAAAATCAGTGGAAAATGGAATGGGAAAATAATGGAGTTTTTTAACCCCCTCATATATTTGTAGCTTATCCAGGCACAGACATGTTTACATTCTAGCCCAAGCAGGCACGTAAACCTTCGGTTTTTACTGAAAAGTTAATCATGTAAAAGATCCCTGGTATGAAAACAGATCTTCTGCATTGGGTGGATTAGGTCAAGGCTGATGCCTTTGACCAACTGCGTGAAGGAATACATTCTTTTTTTTTCTTTTTGGGTCTAAAATTCAAAAGCAGACAAAACTCAGTCATGTTAGTGATAAGGATAGTGGTAACCTTTCAAGAGAAAGGAGAAGTCATGATTGGAGGAGGCCTGAGGGCCATCTGCAATGCTGGTTCTGATCCATTTCCTGACCGTGTGGTTGTTGGTAGCTGCCGTCGCGTCTGCTCCAGTTCATAACAGCATATGTACCAAAGAGCGAGACACTGTCCAGCCCTGCGCCATCCTCACAATTGTCCTTTTGTCTGAGCCCGATGTTGCAGCCACTGTGTCAGTCCATCTTGTCAAGGGCCTTCCTCTTTCTCACGCCCTCTTCTTCTCCAGGGACTGGTCTCTCCTGGCAAGATGTCCAAAGTACGTGAGACAAAGGCTCACCCTCCTTGCCCTGAAGGAGCATTCTGGCCCTACATCTTCCAACACAGATTTATTTGCTCTTTTGGCAATCCATGATACTTTCCAGTGTTCTTCACCAGGCACGATCACTCAAATGCATCCGTTCTTCTTTGGTCTTCCTTATTCAGTGTCCAACTCTCATATGTTCATGAGCCAATTGATAATACCATGGCTTGGGTCAGGGCCGCCTTGACCTAGGTGGTTAAAGTAATGTCAATTTGTGATCATTCATTTATGTTTTAAGCATTTGTAATGAGCTCCACAACAACATCTGAGGCCTAATCCATCTACCTCCCTCTTGAGGCTTATCCTAGAGCTGAAAGTCCCAGGTAGTGGGACGAGATGAGTATCAGGGTGAATAAATGTATCTTTCATTGCTAGATGAGACTGCGACTTATTATATAACCTCTACTGATCTTCAGGCTTGTCCTGGCACCAGGGCTCTCCAGCTCTCATTTAAGCCCGTGTCTGGAAGTAGGCGAGGCCCAGATCCTATGCACAGCAGTGTTGAGTGTGTGGCACCCATATTCAGTGGAAGAGGGGCAGCCCACAGGAGGGAGGGTGAAGGGTGGTTGCCTGTTCTCTCTCAGTGTTTGAAAGTGCTTCTAAAGCCATTCAGAATTACTCCCTTACCTAATGAACATAGTCATTGCTTCTCAAAGCTTAATATTGTATTAAATAGATATTGTATGAAAATGGTATTGGTAATAGTGGGCCCTAAAAATAGAACAACTTTTCCAGGCTCAGCTTGATCTTTTCATCGATTTGTATGACTAGAAAAATATCGTCTAGAGGGCCCAGGGACCAGAGCATTTACAAGCCATTGGTTACGTGTGGAAAGTTAATTTGGCATCCGCTCAAGTAGTTGAAGGTTATGATTTACATGACCATAAACTGGATTTCTGGACTTACAGTTGGAACATTACAAATAACAAAGTTTGTTTAGTGTAATATTAATAAACAAGATAAAAGAAATTCATGAATCTTTTAACCCTGTTTATCTTTCTGCATTTAATTTACTTATCTACAAAACATGATATATTCCCATTTTTTTATATATTTCCATTTTTAAAGTAAGTTGTTATTAAGTGAAGGGAAAAAAAGATATGCTAGTGTATTTTTAAAGTTTTTCTAGCATCATAGCCTATAACTGTATGTGCTAATCTGTCATTGTTTAAATATATATAATATCAACACCTACCATTAATTTGAACTCAAATTATGCATTTCACAAAAATTCGCTTTTCTGAAAGACCTATGTTTTTACCAAAGGGAAGGTTCACTTTTGTGAGAAGCAGAGCTAGCATTGGTGTTTGATTTGCAGGGTGCCATTAGAGGCAGCCAGTGCACACTCCAGCAGCCAAATGGTAGTGTCAAGCTCCTTCCCCCGAACTGCACTGCACACACCTGCTTGATGTATATGCCATGTTATGTTAGGCTTCACATATTGTTGGATATGATCTGATAGGTTATTTGGGGGGTTTGAGTATATGCCAAAGGGAATCATTAGTTCAACAGAGATCTTCTTTAATAATTTTACATGTATATTGTTCTTAGAATTCTAAGCTTAGTCATCAAAAGCCTTTTGTTTTACTGCAAGGGGCTTGTTTCTTTTTTTTTCCCTCAACATTTTCTCTCCACTTAAGCCCCCGGCATTAGGTCCTCATTTCCCCCTCCCTCCCCGCTTCCCCCTACCTCATGAGCCCTTGATAATTTATAAATTGTTATTTTGTCATATCTTGTCCTGTCCAACGTCTCTCTTCACCCACTTTTCTGTTGTTCGTCCACAGGGAGGAGGTCACATATAGTTCCTTGTAATCGGTTCCCTCTTTCCAACCCACTCTCCCTCTACCCTCCCTGTATCTTCACCACATTTGCTTATTCACCAGCTTTGTCTTCAGCGGTTGTGTCGGGAAGGTGAGCATCATAGAAAGCCAATTTAATAGAACAAAGTATTCTTGCATTGAGGGAGTACTTGAGTGGAGGTCCAATGTCCCAGGGGGCTCATTTCAAAGGAAGACTACACACAAGTCAGTGGATGACTTAGTGTGGGGTTTTGTTTTGTTTTTCTCTCATGATCTAGGCCTATTATTCTCAACCTCTAGAGCACGGGTCCTCAAACTTTTTAAACAGGGGGCCAGTTCTCTGTCCCTCAGACCCATTGGAGGGGCGGATTATAGATTAAAAAAAACTATTTTAACAAATTCCTATGCACACTGCACATATCTTATTTTGAAGTAAAAAAACAAACGGGGCAAAAACACCTGGCGGGCTGGATAAATGTCCTCGGCGGGCCGCATGTGGCCCGTGGGCTGTAGTTTGAGGACGCCTGCTCTAGGGAATTGAGGAGTTGAAAGTAAGTTTCATGTTTGAAATGCAAGATGGCTTCAAAAAGTTTATGGAAATATTCTCTTACCTTGTAATTTCCTTTTTCCACAGCTTTTTGAAGTCCCCTGGCATTGTCTTACCCCTCACCCAAAATGTCTGAGTCTTAGAAAAATTACTATAATATTATAGTTATATTCTTATTTTTTTCTCTCCCTCTTTCTCTCCTTACTTCCTTTTTTCCCCTCTCCCTACTCTCTACCAACGCCACTAAATCTTATCCTTTCTGTTTTCCGTGTCCTCACAGCTACCCTGGCCTGCTCGTGGTCCCCCAAGCTGTCCAGGACACCAGTCTACCAAGAGTAGCCCGCTGCTATCGACATAACCGCCTGCCTGTCGTATGCTGGAAGAATGCAAGAAGCAGCACCCTGCTCCTCCGCTCGGGAGGATTCCACGGGAAAGGAGTAGTTGGTCTTTTCAAATCCCAGAACTCCCCTCAGGCAGGTAAGCATCTCACTACAGTACAATTATAAGCCTTTCGCTTCAAAGTATTCCCAAGAATACAAGAAAGAAATACGATTGGGGAATGTCAGGTGCGCCACATAGAACAAGTGCAACTGAAACCAGAACAAAACTTGGCAATGTGGGGCTCCGCCTTCAATTTCACGTCCTGTTGAATCTGTCGCTCCCTTTTAGAAGTGCTATAAATCAAGTTCTATGGTTTCAGCAGGTAGAACCCTGTGTCCTTACTCACACTTCCTGTCTGCTCCGGCTGCGCTGTGGCCAACAGTGAGCTGCATGGCGGCGCCCACCGCTACGGTCCAGAAGCCATAGTTATGGTATCTTGGGGGGGCCTTATTATCAGGGAGGCCTTATGTTCAGGGAGGTCTTATTTTCAGGGGGATGCCCTATATAGTTCAGCGAGAGGCAAAACTGTAAGTAGGTCTTATTTTCGGGGGATGTCTTACTTTCAGGGAAACACGGTATTACCCGGAGCTCAGAGTCTCAACTCAGATGTAATTAAAGACAATTGGCTTGTAACTCCCCTGAGGAATCCTCCCAGGCAACATGGTAGGAACATTAGAGTGCAAGCATACAGTGTAAGTTGCAAAATAAAACAGATCATTTCAGGCACATTGATGAGCTTGGGTTAAAAAAATTTTCCGACTTTATTTCTTTGGTTTCTGATTTTTTTTTAACTTAATATACATTGATCATATTTTATGTATTCCAGCTCACACATTCATTCACATTTACTCTCTTTGAAACAGGTGGACATCTTACAGTTGCCACATTAAGAAAGAATGGTGTCATCCTTTGGTTGGCAGTGTTGTTTTTAGTCCAGGCACCTCGTTTTATTGTGCCTTGCTGTCCTGCACTTCACAAATGTTGTATTTTTACAAAGTGAGGGTTATGGCAACCTTGCATTGAGCAAGTGTGTCCACACCATTTTCCCAAGAGCATGTGCCATCTTCTTGTGTCTGTGTCACATTGTCATCATTTCTACAATACAAGGGCGCTTTTAAAAGTTCATGGAAAAAATAGAATGAAAAGATAATGGGATTTTGCCGCAAGTTTTTTGAAACCCCCTCATTTCAGACTTTTTCATAATGCTGTTGCACACTTAACAGACTACAGTATAGTACACATATAACTTTTAAATGCACTGGGAAACAGAAAACATGCATTTGACCCACTTCATTGCTTAATTGCAGTAGTCTGAAATTAAACCTGCAATATCTCTGAAGTATGCCCCTATGTAAAATAACAGTGATCTTATAGCTCATGGCATCTCAGAGTTGATAAAATATAATAATGTTAATTATGGATTTCCTATTCAGATTGTAAGAAAACTTCTTGTTTTCTATTGTCCTGGTGAGTCTGTTCCCAATGCCTGTTAAGGTGTCTGTGGAGCCCTGCTGGCATAGTGGTTACGTGTTGGGCTGCTCACCACAAGGGCAGCAGTTCAAGACCACAGCCACTCCGAGGAAGGAAGATAGGGCTTCTACTCCCTTAATGAGTCACAGTCTCAAAAACCCACAGGGGCAGGTCTACCCTGCCCTACAGGGTCGCTTTAAGTCGGCGTTGACAGCGAGTTTGGTTTCAGGTTTGGTTAAAGTGTCTGGACCAATTTCAGAGATTGTCTTGTGCTCCGGACCAACCAGCTATGCCCTCCTAGCAGAAGACTGCTCTGTAATTGTCTCCATCTGGGGATACTTACTGTCCCTCTTCTAGAAGCACCAGAGAAGCTAGCAATAGTTGCTGCTGTCTTCTCCCCATTACTCTCCGTCCTCCTCTTAGCAAACAAACCCCTGTTGGGCCTGTATGGCAGAACTGGGATAAAAGCTACTGGTGTTGACAGATTGTCACCTCTGCCCATTCTGGAATGCCAAGGGAACCTCCTCCATCCTCTGCTCCCTAACAGTAGCATAGGTTGTATGGCTGTTTTCAGTGGCTTGGCGAGTGAAAGCTAAACACCTGTGCTTGGAAGGGCACGGTTGTGCCTGCTTGTCAAGCTCCTGGGCTCTTATCTGGGAGGGGAGAAGGCAATGAAGAAGGAGGTGCGGTGAAACCAGCATCATAGGAGGATTAAGCCCCGACTAGATTGGAGCTTTCAGTGGGACTGGCTTCTAAGTGTGGGTGTGGTCACTAGGAGAATGTACAAAGAGTAAAATGTATATACGTGCTCGTTTTGCTGACCTACAGACAGTTTGTTTTACTCGATATATTTTCCTTTTATAGCTCCTACCTCCTCTTTAGAATCTTTCAGTAACATAGAACAAGAGAAGTACTTGCAAGCCTTACTGAGCGCAGTGTCTGTCCATCAGAAACGCAGTGGCAACAACACACTCACTGTCAGGCCAGCTCTTGCTCTGTCTCCAGGTAAGCTTTGATGATACCTTTTTAACTTTATTTTTCCATGGCTGTGTAAGGGTCGGATCTGTTCCTAGGCTGAGTCTCTCGAATTATCTGCCCTGTTCCTTTCACGTGACCTTGTAAAGGTTTATCGGCAGTGCTGCAATTTTAGCTCTTTTTACTGAGAACTCACGGTACCACTATTAATAATCTGGAAAGTAAATTGTAACCCAATTAGAGACTCAATTATTTTCCTTTTAAAATAGCAATAGAAAGAGAGGAAGTGTGGAATATAAAATCAGCAGGGGGTCCTCTCCCTCAATCTGTTTTAAAATACTACTAAGACGTTGTATGTATAACTTAAACGTATGTTTATTAAATGCATATCCATAAAAATCATCATGTATAAGCTTGAAATTTCTGCAGCCTTTTATGATTCATAGTACAGTTTGTTTGGACTAGATTTGGATGAAGCCATTAAGACTTGTACTAATATTCTGTTTCAGTTATCATGTGGTGGAACCCCAAAGGGTTCATGTAGAGGTAACCCTGATGTGTTAAGACACAGGAGCATGTGACTTGAAAAGTTGGTCTTCTTGGCTTAATCAGCTATTTGAATTAGCTCAACATAAGCAGAGTGGCTTTCCTTGTAAAGTAACACCATGCATGCCTTGCTTCATTTATCATTAAATTCTCTGATTGCGTTTGCCAAACCTAACTCTCTGTAATCTTGCAAATGTGTGTTATCTCAGATGAAATAATAACATTGCCTTGTTATCTCTAATAAAGCTCTGGGTACTTAAAAAAGTACATTGTTTGGCAGCAATTAGACATGCTCCACATGAAGATAACTTTTTGTCATTTGAGTAATGTTAACCCGAACGACATGGTTTTTCTTCTTCTTTTTGGCTGACTTTAGGGACTGAAAGGAGGACTTCAAGAATGTCCACTGTGCTTAAGCAGGTAGTGCCAGGACATTTGGATGTAAACCCATCCAATAGCTTTGCTCGAGGAGGTTAGTAAGATTGATTTTATAACTGAGCACTGATATAAGCCGAAAGGCAGACAGCATTCATTGTTCAAGGTAGCAGATACTTTAACTCAACTAATTATGGTTCAAACTGTTCATAATTACCCTTTCCAAGTGAATGATCAAATTTGTTACTAGCATGGTGACAGAGGAGTTTAGCCCCGTGGGACAATCGGTATAATCACTGTTGCTGTCGTGTATATTTGAGTTTGTGATGCTTCAAGAGGTGAAGGGAGCACTTCTGAATGGTGAATCCACCCTCGGAAGATACCATGGCATGTAATGATGCTCCAGGTTTGCAGAGTAGACAGACTGAGCACAAATATGGACAGACAGCGAGGGAGAAGTATTAGCTCACTAAAGGGCCGTGCCTCCCCTGACTGTTATTTTGCTCCGACTTCTGAGATGCTAACTTAGAGGGTCGGATAGAGTGCTAGCTGAGTTTCTCTTTTTTCTCCTGAGCTGTGGCTGCTGGCATGAGGAAGTGGAGAAAGGCTGAGTATACATTCGCTCTTTAAAGCTCCACCGGGTGGTCCACGTTGGTCTCTGGAAGTTTATGTGAGATCCATTCCTTTACTTCCCAGAGGAAATTCCAGAGTAGGTATCTGATTGTCACAATGAAGTCATAGGATCCTGGGCTCTTCCTCTCCCCATATACAATTCGACATCCCCTGGAAAACAAACCAATGGAAAGCTCATTTCTCCCCACAGGGAATTCCCGCCATGATTAAGCAGCTCTGCTTGTCAGGAGGAATCCCTGGGTGGTACAAATGGCGAAGCCCTCCACCCACCCAGAGACATTTCAGAAACCAGTCTGCCTCCCAAAGGTCAGAGCCTTGAAGATCCCACGAAGCAGTGCTTCTCTGACACACACGGGGTCACCAGGAGGAGAAGTGGACTAGACAGCAACCGGTTAGGGATGTTTATTTCTCTCGTTTTTGTTTATTTGTCAGAAAAGTCTTTTTTGCTTGGATCTTAAATCTACCACTGTGTAACTTTTACACATTGGCCCTACCTCTGCACTCTTAAAGTACAAAAACAAGCCTGATCTCATACACCGCCGTTTTCCCCGGCGTGATCCTTGTTTCTGTTTTCTGCTACTCTCCTGTTCAAGTGGTTCTAGTCTACTCCCCATCTTTGTCATTCTCTGGCCTCTTCACAGGGCTGAGCCCAGCACTCAGGTATTCCTGAAGCCTTACATTGCATTAGACCTGAGCACACACTCTGTGTGTGTGTGTGTGTGTGTGTGTCTGTCTGTCTCTCTCTCTCTCATTGTTGGTCTTTGCAGTATCCTGCTTTGGAGACTTAAGTGTACTGTGTGCCATCCCTATAAAATTTCATCTTCTTGAGGCCTTTGGATCCTATCTACCTAGTGCATTAGCTGTTTTACCAAGCTTCTTGTCATGCATGGCTTTGATCAGTGCTCTCATGTGAACTGTTGTTTAAGAAAATGTTGAACAAGCCAGAGCTAAGGACAAAGGCCTATGGCACACAGCATAGAAGCCTCCCTGCCTCCCTGAAGAAAGCTACCCCTCTGTTACTCGACACTGGTTGTGGGTCCTCCTACTAAAAAGCTCACTTGGCTCACGTTTTCAAACCTCTGCCAATCTTTTTAATTCAGTATTTGCCAATCTTCCAGCCTGTTAACCAGATTACAAAAAAGTATATGGTTAGTTTGGCTTGCTTTATTATAGGATTAATGCTTTTTTCTTTTCTAAGTACTAATAAATAAGCCATTAATAACCCTGTCTAGAATTTGGTTTAGAATCAACATTAAAAAGCTCTAGTTAATAAAATCTACTCTTCCCACCAGGCGCCTCCCTGCACCACCACCCCCACCACCACCACACACCCCTTAACCCTGTACTATCAGCTCATCTCCTGGCAAGTCCCCTTGGCTCTTTGGATACTTCATCCTCATTAGAATGTTCTACAACAGCAGAATTTCCTAAGGGCTTTCTTGATCTTCTCGAGTCCCTCCTCCTAATTCACGTATCAAGCTATGCATAGGCTCATATGCAGCTAGCTATAAAATTTTCAAATGCCTTTATTTTACATTTAAGATACAAACTTATTTCTTCTCATCTCTTTCCTTGTGATTTTGAACTAAAGTTGATGTAGTCGACTTTCTCCTGCACGTCTTGGTATTTCCAGTGCCAAGAGTTCTTCTAACGCTGGTCAGATTTTAGTTCAACATTACAGTTTCCCTCATGGCTGTATTTACCATGAGAAAGCTTATGCTATTAGCATGCCGGTAGTTTTCCATTCTACTTTCAATAGACTACAACTTCCAACAGATGTCTGGTTAGCTGGACCTCTCCCACTCCACACTTGGCTGTTGTGTTTTGCTTTTGTAAACTTCATTGGGAACATTATCCATCCCTCTGTTTGACCAGATGACCTGTTACATAAATTTGAGCTACAAAAGTGTCTTTTCTTTTATGTTGCTACCTAAGACTTATGAATTTTTCATCCAGTTGTTTCAACTATGGTATGATCTCTCCTTTTATACTGGCCTCAGACTCATAGCTAATGGTTATATTCTAATCATGAGTCCCTTCTTTGCTAGCCTCAAAGATCTCTGGGGAGGCTATATTTATTCCTTTGGGTTTAGATTTCCCTTTTGATTGTAATCTATTCTGTGTCCATCTTGGGCTATAAGTATTGTTTCTGAAACTCCTCCCAAATATTTTCTAGTGAACATCACAGGTTGCTGCTAATTGGCCTAAGGTAGTGTGTTAGTCCAGGTAGACTAGAAAAGCAAATCCAGGGAGACACTCATATGTGTATAATAAAGAGCTTGATATAAAAGAGCAATTGTATATTGAGAAAACACCCCAGCCCTGTCCAGTTCAAGTCCATAAGTCCAATATTAGCCCATATGTCCAATACCAGTCTATAAATTTCTCTTCAGATTTATACAACACATGCAATGACGCTGAATGCAGGAAGATCACAGGCCAGTGGGTAGAAAGTCTGTGGATCCAGTGGTGGTGGAAGCATCCAGTTCCAGGGCCCTGGCTCCATCAGTAGCTCCATGTGGCTTGTCAATAGGAATGTGTAGCAGAGAGAGTCTGGCCTCCAGTGAGCTATTTCTCTCCATTGCGCCTCCAATTGAAGTCATCAAGCTATGACCTGATTTGTCAAGCTAAACACCACCCCTTCACTCTTAATAGTCTCAAGTTGACACCAGATTATATAACTACCACAAGCAGGAAGATAATGGTATATGCTTTAGGTCTGGGCCACTAATTGCCAAGTCCTCTTGATCATGACTCACAGGAAGAACTGTATTTTACGTCCTAAATGTATACACACATACACATTTGTCACAGTGTAAGTAATATAAGTCACAGTGCAAAATGTGGATATGTGATAAAACAAAAGTTTTATGAAAGAATACTCATCCATACCACATAGAGTGTGTAAAATATTTTGAATTTTGTTTCTGTTTTTGAAAATACTGGTTTGACTTACTAAGATTATTTAATAGTCCCTTGAAGGGGGTCTGCAGTTTGGAAAACATTACTTTAGAACCTTAACAGGTATACTATGCTCAGGACAAACACTTTGACCTAAGAGTCACTCAGGAAATCCAAGTATACCTTCCTACCACCAAGAGAGCAGTGCAGTTCCTTTAGTTACCATGCCTTCCAAATAAGATGACAATTCTCAACCCCTCTGCTGGTCTCACAGCAGCATTTGGCTGACTTCCTGCTAAGAGAATAAACACTCCACTTTTCACTCTTCTGATGCAAATGAATTGAGAAGAAGCCAGGGGAGAGGGCTACCACCACCACAATGTATTGATCTGCAAAAAGGAAATAACAAATGTCTTGAGCCTCTGAGGTATATCAAGCTCTTGACTCTGTTGCAGGATAGATCAAAGAACCAACATGATTTGTTTGGTCTCTGCCCTTGAGAGCACACCATCTGATTGAGTTAGAGAATGTGCAGCTAATCACAATGCAGTGTGATAAGAACTCCCTACATCAAATAGACCTCCTTACATGACCACGGAGGGGGGGGGGGGGGACAGCTGGAGTCAGCATTGAAGAAAGTATTAACACCATTCCAGGCAGAGGGGCAAACCTGAGAAAGTGTGATCTGTCCAGAGAACAGTATCTCTGGATCAGGGACCACTAGCGATTTACTGTACTCATCCTGGTGTCTCACATCCCAGTAAGAAAATGGCCTTGTCAGAAAGGAGACCAGTTGGCCAGCCCTGCTGCCACAAGTCTTTGCTCTTCAGAGCATGATCTGTGTGCCATCAGTCAGTGCCTCTACTGACTTTAGTCCCTGCCTCCACAGGAATGAAAAATCACATTCAAATTTTCTTTTATCAAATTAATGTGTCATGTTTTACAGTTTTGTAGTCTCCATTTTAACAATACTGCTGTTAAAGTCTAAAATCCTGAATAAACAAAATATAATTTCCCTTAATCGGCTTGAACAATTCCTTTAAGAGTCAGGAAGTTATGATGTGACTCTAACCCAGCGATCCTCAACCTGTGGGTCATGACCCCTTTGGAGGTCGAATGACCCTTTCACAGGGGTCACCCAATTCATAACAGTAGCAAAAATTATGAAGTAGCAACAAAAAAATTTGATGGTTGGGGGTCACCACAACATGAGGAACTATATTAAAGGGTCGCAGCATCAGGAAGGTTGAGAATCACTGCTCTAACCAATTGCTAGCCATTTTTGTTGTTACCAGGTAAGTTTTGCCATAGTTAAGAAGCACTTCCTTTCTGATAGAAAAAAAAAAATATATATATATATATATACACACACACACACACACACACACACATATTACTCAAATTACAAAAGTGTTATCTCTGCCTGTCATTTTGGTGCAAGTGGGAATTTTAGGAGAAGGCATTACTTCAGTCATTATAAGCTGTAATACTGGTGGTATTGGGCATTGTCACAGAATCTTGAATACTGCTCTTACAACTGTCTGCTTAGGGAAAAGAAATGTAATTCCAAACTGAAAAGAGAAGGAAGATTGTGTGGCAATGCTTAATGCTCTGTCGCAAAAAACATGCCCTTAGTTATCCCAAATGGTTTCTAGAGCTTTCGTTGTTTCCTGGTGTGATGACCTTGCTCAAAGAACAAATGGTTGTTCAGCAAATAGCATTTGCCAACCAATCAGCCCCCATAAACACTAGGGCCAGTGTATTCCTAACATTTACACCCCCCAAATGCCTTAGTGAATAAGACTAAGGAATTTTGAATTAGTATATAAATTTGATACTGCCTCAATTAAAATCTCCAAAAGCTTATTCCATTTGGTATAATTTTTTAGTGGTACTTTCTGCTGTGCTGCCCGTCTCATTGTGCTTTTAGTCTTTATAAGCAGGTGCTGAGATTTCATGTAACAAGCACTCAGTCCATCTGTGTGTGTGTGTGTGCACGCGCAGCTTTTTACTTGTTAGCAGGATCTTCTACCTTTACAATGTGCACGTTTGTTTCCTGGGCTAACTTATGTTTTAAAACCAAATAACTTGTCTCTTCTCTTACCCCCTCTGCTCTGGTGTTTGCTGCTGGCTGCATTTCATGCCTTCTCTGTCTTTAACCTTGCCTACCAGTGCTTGAATACAGAGATGAATGTTTTACTCAGTCAAATCCCACATCTTCAGCTAAGGGAAGAGTTCCTAATAACCAAGGTACTGACGTATATTTATCCTTCCTGACACGTCATTTTACCTAACCATCTTCCTGTGAAAACATCTGTTGCCAATCACTTCCCCCCCACATTTGTTTGTCAAATTATGCCCTTTATTCTCATCCACATTCTGAATGTCCTCTGTGATTCCATTTTCAAAAGCTTTGCAAGATAATCCTTGCCATCACCCCTAAGTGAATCCCAAGGGTTATCTAAAAAAGACTGGTCCCTGTTAGGCAGAAGTCACCGAGGAAGAGTTTGGGGTTTCTTTCCTGAAATTAGTCTTCTGCCCCCATGACTATTTCTAAGGAGAGAGGTGGCTTGATGTCACATGTGGGAGAGAAGAAAGAGCAGTTCCGACTCAAGAAGGCTGCTTTAAAGGAGGCACGTCCACACGTGGGCAACGGCCCCGCAACTTGGCACGGAGGTGGGTGCTCTGTGGCTCTGAAGTCGCTACAGTGTGACTCAAGCTTGTGAGCGAGGGGTCACCCTTGGATTTAATACTCAATACTCTCGCTTGCATATGGAAATTCTTGATTTTCCTAATTCATAGATTCTCCTAGTGACTTAGCACGGCCTCTCTCTTAGAAGACCTGCTTCTGGCTGCACATTTGAAAGAAAACCTCCTAAGAGCCCACAAATGCCTATTACTAAATGAATAACTTCTCGTTTTATTTCATGGAGATTGGAGGAGAAAAGACAATAGAATAATCTTTGGTAATTTAGAGTTATATAATTTGGGTATAGTATACAGATCTTAATTCCAAAGCCAACCTCAGATTAAAGTAAGGGTTAGTAAATGTCTAGTTCATTTCCAAATAAGATTTCTTATTGAATTGACTGAATAAGGCACAGGAATGTTCCTTACTTCTTTCATGAAACCCTAAGAAATGAATTTCCTCAGTTTTCTCCTCCCTAGGCCACAGTGCTGCCTCCTGCCTGCACTTTTGCTTATTGCTTTTGTGATTAGTGCACGTTTTCTATTTATGATTCTACCCAGGACTCGCTTAGAATGCCGAATGTATCTTCAAATATCAAAATAGGATTGACTTGGTGACTTCTTAGGGTTCACCAAGCCTAAGACTGCGTGGTTTTAAAATGTTATTTGAATAATGCTTAGATGCTGTCAAAGTAAATGACGAATGCCTGCAACGATCTCAGTACTAGATTAATTAATGTATTCTAACACGTGCCTTCCGAGCATGCTCCTGTCTCCGTATTCAGTGGCATTTCCACAGCAGATCATCTCACCCAACTCTTTTGGCTTCTGTGAAGGTGTGTGGGCAAGTCTGCGCTCTAGCACCCGCCTGATCGGCTCTCCAACATCCTTCATTGATGTTGGCGCCCGGCTGGCAGGCAAGGATCACCCGGCCTCCTTTAGTAACAGCGCCTACCTACAAAACCAGCTCTTGAAACGCCAAGCGGCCCTTTACATATTTGGTGAAAAGTCACAACTAAGGGTAAGAGTTTTTGTTCTCACTTGGAAACTTTATAGATGCACTAAGACAGCTTATAAAACATGTCACACATTTCTTTTTTAGCATGGATTCTTAATGTGGAGTTAAAATCGGTCACAACAATTCTAAGGTATCTCTTTGTAGGTTGTAATCTTAACATATGGATACATACGTACCAGGGGACTTAAAAAATTCTCTCGTCTGTTCATTCTCTTTTCTTATGAATTGTCTGACATCCCCTTGTATATACATACTTGAACATCTACTAGCCATGAAAATAAGAACTTGTTCATAGTAATTTGGAAGAAACGACTGCAATTTACTTCTGCTAAAAGTCAGGATAGGCTTGTGGGACTTCAGGAAATTGGCGCTCCGAGAACCAGGAGAAAGGCTTATGCAAGCTGGTGCCCTCCCTCCATGGAGCTTCCACAGCCGTCTCTGCCGATGGCAAGGCCTAGAGAAAGAGGCACGTGCCCTAATTTCCCGAGAGTCAAAAAATGCGTACAGTCTGATTCTTAACAGCTTTATTCGTATTAATTTTTATGCTAAGGGACTTTACTACATAGAGGTCCCATGAATTATAAAGGTAGACTTTCTCTGCCAAGGCACTCAGTGATAATTCCTAGAGTTTTAATATTTTCACAATTCACAGATTACAAAGAAAATTGCATTACTCCTGACAGGTTTTATCTACGAGATGAAAATACGTGTTAATTCAGAAATCTCCCCAAGCTCGTTCTAGCCCTCCAGTCAGCACCGAGCAATCCCACCCCCCTTTGACTGAGTCACTGATCAGAGCTGTGAGAGCAGCACGCGCAGGTCCCTCTGCCTCCTCTGCAGGCTCCCACAGGCTCGAGTGCCTGAGTCATCACTTCTGCAGTCAAATGGATGTGTCAGATCTCCTCCCACCGCCTGATCTGCTTTAATCTCTTAGTCACCACCATGTAGGGCAAAGGGCACCGTCAGTTCTGAAGGCTGCATACAAGTCTTCTGATACGCTTCATGTCCAGGAAAGCGCTGTGCCACTTTCCAACAGCAGCCTAGGGTTCCCTGCGCAGCTTCATTGGCACCAGCATCTTTTCTCAGCACACTTTCCACACTTGAGCACATCACTTACTCCCCCTCTCGATCCCTCCTGTGGTTTGTCTCCTGACAGTGGTCGGACCTAGATGAGGAAGCCAGACTGACCACTGGGAGCTTGCTCTTCCTCTTCCTTTCCTCCTTTGTTTTGTGTCTTCCTTTCTTCTGCCCTTTCTTCCTCTAGTTAGTAATTCTATTACTCTTCAGTCATCGTGTACCCTTTTTCACGTTCCATTACTCAGCCAGTCCTTACTCTGGGCGCATCTCTACTCCCCCATGTGTGCCTTGCTCACACTGCCTACACCCCTTTTTCTTCCAGCAAAGGAAACCTGAGCAGGAAGGTAGTGACTCAGTCTAAAGCCAGCTTGAATCGGGTCCTCTTGACACCTTTTTAAGGAGCCTTGGTGGCACTATATTAATCATGTGGCTGACAACCTAAAAGTCTGCCCATTCGAACCCACCAGCCACTCCATGGGAGAAAGATGCCACAGTCTTTCTTCACAAAGCTTCACCGACTTGGAAAAGCCTATCCGGCAGTTCTGCGCCACCCTACAGTGTTGCTGTCAGTCTGAGGCAACCCAACAGCAACAGGGATTATGGTGTGAGACCTTACAAAATCCTCATGCTTGAGTGCATTAGGGAGAAAGACAAAGCTTTCTAATTCCATAAAGAGTTGTAGTCTAGGGAACCCACAGGAGCGATTCTACCCTGCCCTACACGGCCACTATGAGTCGGAATCAACTCGATGTCAGAGAGTTTGGCTTTTTGTTAGTGCTTTTATTACCAGAAAATTCCTTATGACCTACTGTGTGCTCCACATTATGCTTGAGATCTCGTGGTTTATACGAGAGGTATCTATAGCGCATGTATAGTTGGGAAATGGAAGGCAATCTAGTTTTCCTGCAAAATAAAGTGCCTTTTTTAAATTGTAAGATTAAAAATTTTTTAATTAATAGGAATTCATATCCATTTTAAGTTTTTTTTCTTAAGCAATACTTAATGTTTCTGTGTTGTATATTTTAATTACAACTTAGCATCCCATATTGTTGAATGTTTAGGTTTATTACTTGACATGCTATATGTAAAATTGCAATCGTGTTATTAAGCATAGTGTCTTTTTTTCCAATTATATTTTACCAGTTTTGGTTTTTTCTTATATTTCACATCATTTCTTTATGACCAATTCCTATAAGTGGAATTACTAAGACAAATAATATAAACATTTTTGTTTCTTGATACATATTGAAAGTGCTATCAAAAACCTTTGGCTTTTTCTTTTGAAACTTTAATGGGCCGTTCTATAAATACTAACGTAACAAGCATACAATACTAAAAGCTCTCTGCATAGGAATCGATGTGATGGTAGTGGAGTTGGTTTGGTTTGGAGTGTCTGTAAGGCCTTGCCAGAATTCTTACTCTCAGGAAAGCAAGTGGTCCAACAGAGTGATTCAGGCAGAATGTGAAAAATGATAGAAAAAATCTGAGAAAATTAATCCATGCTCTGGCATAAGAAGTTAGAGGACTTTTAAATAACCAGATTATAAAAGTAAAATAAACTGTACCAATGGGCCATCAGTATTACTTTCTTTAATTACAAATGCAACAGCCAGTCGCTCACACAGAACGAACTCTGTGTGGATTAACATTTCAAATGATAAAAGTACTCGAGTTAAATACAGATTGGTGCATGTGCCTCCTTGTATTGAAAAAGATCATCTCAATGCTAGAAGTCAACACGACTTATACCTTTTGTTGACAACCTTGTGCCTTACTGCTGGCTTTATAAGAGCAATCACAGTGTTACCAGCCTTTGGGACAGTAGAACAGTGATTTTTTACTTCCTTTTTAATGTTATCTCTACTCTTAAATTTTTTCATATCACTATATCACTAAGGCTCCTTTTTCATTTTTACAGTCCATTTGTTTTATCCACATCGCAAGAAACAATTATTTACATGTCTGAAAACTTAACTATGTAGAGATCTGGAACCCCAAGAACATATTACCATCTCATTTACAATGTGTATATCAGGGAGACTCAGTTTGTTGGATTTACATGTGTCATTGGTTTCTCTTTAAACTTTCAGGTTCATAGTCAAGTCACTGGCTTACATTAGCTGCTCTAAACTCCATCACATTGAGCCACCAGTAGCCTGTTCAAATTCCTAACATGGCAGCATTTTAAAATGAAATCATCTAGAGAAGAGTTGACCTGCCGTTCCAGGCCAAGCTGGGCACCTTCCTGAAGGGATCTTTCCAGATCATTAGCCACACAAGACCAACTGCCTTTATTCTTTACAGCTGCTGTCACTATTTGGCCTCAACTAACCCCATGTCTCAGCATTGGCCGAGTGGAAGCATTGCTCTGTTAGCCACACCCCGTCATCTGCCTGACCCTCTGCTTCTTCATCCTCAGGGCTTCAAGTTAGAATTCGCTCTGAATGGCGAGTTTGTTCCTGTTGAATTTCATGACATCCGACAAGTGAAAGCCAGCTTTAAGAAACTCATGAGGGCTTGTATCCCGAGCACCATCCCTACTGACTCAGAAGTGACCTTCCTGAAAGCCCTGGGCGACTCTGAGTGGTTCCCACAGGTAATGTCTGGAGCGGCTTGTCTAACCCCCCAGAGAAAGGGAGGCTCGAGTGCACAGGCAGAGCTAGTGTCTAAGGAAAAGACCCTCCCGTTCCTCCCCATCCCATGTTCTCCCCTTGATCCCGTGCCCTTTGAAAGGACCTTTCATGTCTAGGAAACCCAATGGCACAGCAGATGGGACAGGAAAGTTCTTGATCCCTGGATCCGAGGAATCTGTGTGTAACTGATGGTTTGCTCTCAGCCCCAAACTGTACCCTTTCCCTGTGCAAAAGTCAATCATTTCTTTGTGGTGGAAACTGATGTACAGCAGGTGTAATGGGCAAACATTTGGTGTTGACCTCATGAGCATGCAGGGCAGAGTGTGATTTCTGCACAACTCCAAGAGCTTTGTCTCCTGCTTTCTCACCTTTCCATTCCATGTCTCTAGATTTGAGATTCACACCCACAAAAGGCACAGTTGTAGGCCCTGGAGACGGCCTGAGTTCTCAGGGAAACCACATAGCCTTCCTTCAGCTAAGTTGGGGATGTTTCTAATTAGCTTTTGCCGAGAACTTAAGGAGAAATGTGTGTGTCAGCACGTACGCTCACATTTCTTCCAGTGCGCAGAAGCCCAGTCTTGAGGCGCCTGATTGTTCCTCCCGCCGCCCCCCCACATCCACACACACCACCACCACCACCCCCACCCCCCACCCCGAGTTCCTAGTCCCTCTGTCCTCTGGCCCCATCCACCTCAGGCTGACTTGCTCTTCAGTCTTTAGGAGGAAAAAGGGTGGTTTCTCACAGTCGGGAAAACCAGGACACGATGTGAGAACCCAGGGCCTCCAGGAGCTTGAACAATGTAGCCACATGTACACTTAACTATAGATAGACATCACTGCGTTCATTGCTATTAAAGCGATTCAGGGTATTGATACTCAAGGAAAAAGCTGATGGCTGGGTACACCCTGTCCTCCCCCACGCTATGAGTTCCTCTACCCAACCTATCTGTGCTTCTGCCCCAAACCATACTCCAAGCCTATGCAAAAGTAGATCCTTATCAGGATTTATTTAGTGATTGAAGACAGCTTAAAACATTGCCTCACAATGGTGGCATATACTCACAATGGAAACTCGTCAGCCACTAAGAGAAATGGGCCTCTGATGCCTCCCACTACCCAGATGAGCTGTGAAAATCTGCTGGCCAAAAGATGTCCGTGGGGGGCTCTCACTTGTTTGAAATAAGTACCTAGGAATCAAAGATTCGTAGTGATTACCGGGGGAAAGGAGGGGCGTTTGGGTTAGAGACCACTGAGCATGTGTTAACGATGTTGGAACACTTTGGAAGTAGACATCGAGAAAGGTTGCTCACCTTGAAAAACCAGTGGTCGACATCCTTGGGTTGTACATCTGGACCTTGAGGTGCGTGCGCCACGTACACACCTGTAGACTGCATCTGTAGATGGGAGCGGGCCTTGGGTGTTGGAGCGTTCCTCCTCTCTCGGGAGGCTGGCTTTAAAAGTGAACTCCACTTTCAAATGAACGTTGAGCTTCAGAGCTCTCAGGCTTGGGACAGCTGTGAGGCAGGCGCAGGGAACGAGGAGCTCCCGTTGCTGTGCAGGAGACGTGCCTCGTTCCTGTGCTGAAAATGGCCCACTTCTGCTGGAAAGTTGTTTAAGTTCAGGGCTGAAATCACACTATAAATTATATCATGTGATGTTTAAAGTATTTAAGCTAGAACGTTGCACGTTTGATTTTGAAAGCTGTGTGCTGTGCTCACATCCCAGGTGTTCACTGGGGACTTTCGTCCGTTGGCCTCGTTTTAAAAAGCAAAACATACATGTAAGTTTCTCTTACACTTTTCAGGCAAATTAGGAGTACCTTTTGGAGACATTGTTCCCTTCCCGCAGATTCCTTTTGAAGGGTACAGTCCGGTTTTTAGGAATTTTACAGTTGTGCAACCATTGCCACTATGTCATTCCAGAAAAAAATAGGAGTCTCTGAAATAGAACTTACTATGTCAGAAATTTTCCTTTTTGATTTTTAATTCAATAACTGTTGGGAGGAAAAAAGATAAATAACTGTTGGGAGGGCCACAGACAGTCCCTGTCCCTTGTACACTAGAATTACAGCACTTACTGTGTTGGCGGAGCCATGTGAGACCAGTTGATTTTATTGAACATGTGTTTAAATGGATCTGTTGTGTCCAAATGCATTCGCCTCTACCCTGACGTGTTGGTCTAAAGTTGTTTGTCTGTTGTGCTCAGAAAGCGCTTGGTCTAATTGTGGCCTCTTTCCTGTCTCTTAGCTTCACAAGGTGCTACAGCTGGCCGTGGTGGCATCAGAAGTACTTGAGAACGGCTCTTCAGTGTTGGTCTGTCTGGAGGAAGGCTGGGACATCACTGCACAAGTAAATAGGGACACATTTTGGATGTTTAACTTATCTTTGTGTTTGTTTCAATTCCGTTCTATAGGTAATTCTTTTGTATAATGACTACTGCCTTTCAGGAAGAGAAAGTCTTAGGTTAAACCCCACCTGGTCTCCCTCAGAAAGCCTGGCGCCCCCACAGACACTCCGTGTGCCTGTGCAGATGGAGCCCTTGACCAGTACGCTGGGGGTGGACTATTCTTCCTGGGTTTGGTCAGTTATTTCTCTGGCTCTCTCTACTCCTTCTAGACTGAAAAGTAGGAGTACAAACTACATTAAGATATTAATCGGTAGCTGCAAAAAAAAAAACCCCAAAACTTTGAACTGAACCTCTGGCCTCATTGATTAATCTCTGAGAAGGCCACAGTCTACAAACTTGTCCATTAAAAATGCAGATCTTGAGTCCCTGAATTAAAAGTGCAGCCAAAACGAACCTGTTTGTTTTCACTGGGAAGTGTGCAGAATTCATTTGATTGGCTATCCTGGAAAAGTCAGTGAACAAATTTGCTTCCCAGTTAATTTGACTTCCAGGTTAGTTATCATCCAAAAGCAGCGCTGGGTTTTAGCAGCAGGACTCTTTCCGGACTGAAAGTAACGATTGACCATCTTGTCTGTGCCCTAGGTGACATCTCTGGTTCAGTTACTCAGTGATCCCTTTTATAGGACACTTGAAGGCTTCCAGATGCTGGTGGAAAAAGAGTGGCTCTCTTTTGGTCATAAGTTCAGTCAGCGGAGCAGCTTGACACTCAACTCTCAGGGCAGTGGCTTTGCTCCGGTCTTCTTGCAGTTCTTAGACTGTGTGCACCAGGTAAGTGGAGCAAACCTCAACAGACTTGATCCGAAAGAAAAGAACGAGCATTTCCCGGGCCATACCGGGTACCTTCCTGTAAGAACTGATGGACACAGCCAAGCACACGCCCCTGGGCTGAGAAAGAAAACAGCTGGCCTCCAAACTAGAAGACTAGCCGAGCTGGTCTTTGAGCTTAGCGCTAATTGAGGTCGCCAGAATTCAACTTACCATTTCCAAAGGAGCAGCAAACTTGGACTTGCTCTTCAAGAAAATCTGACCTAGGATAGAATAGCAAAAGCATAAAGGTAGTACCCAGGTCTGAAATTTAGTACAGAGTCTGCACAATGTAGGAGGGCCCTAGCTTGTGCCTGCGCACATGGGAGACAGAGCTGAGCCTGCAGACAGTGAATCAGGGTCCAGTCAGGCAGCCCAGTTGGTGGAGAGCACCGGCTCAGTTCTACGGGGTAGCCCAATCAGGGCTAATCAAGCGGCCAGACCAAAACTCAGGTCTCTGATTCAAGCAAGAGGTCAAGCAAGGGGCGGGGAGGGTGTGTGTGCAAGGGAACATCGGGGAGTGGTGAGCATTCAAAGCTCCTCCCTATCCACCTCAGATACACCCCTCTTGAAGGCCAGGGCCTTGGTCAGGATTTGCTTGAGATTTGGGTGGTTACCGGGCTTGCAGATTTAAGGCATTGACACTAGTGGCTAACTTGACCAAAGAAAGGAAGAATTGAAAATATCAGCCTGGTTTCATCCACACCACAGTCCCGGGGTCAATGAATGGATTCTGGCATGTATTTGCCAGAGACGTGAACATCTTTGAAATACTTTGGCCTCAAGCATTTGTTGAAAGGTAGAAATATTTTTAAGTACCAGAATTAGAAACAGGCCGTCTGAAGAGCCGGATTTGTATGTAATTATGTTTTGTTTTGTCTTACTCTTATTAATCACGTGAGCAGTTTCATTGATTCACTGTATACTTAGTTTAAATAGCAGCTTTATTTAGATAACTTACATATGACACTATTCCCCCATTTACAGTGTACAAGCCAGTGGTGTTTAGTATGTTTTCCAAGCTGTACAACCATCACAATAATCAACTTTAGAGCATTTTCTTCAGAGGGAAAAGAAACTCCAGGCCCATTAAGCAGTCACTTCCCATTTCTCCACCCACCATTCATGCTTTCTGAGTGCTCCAGTCAGCTTCTCAACGAAAAGGCCAGCTGGCTCTGTCCCGAAAGCATGTGGAGGAGCTGGTCACAGAGGACAGTTTGTACCTTCAAATTTGAAGCAAGTGGTGTCTCTGTTTTATGTGTGAATATTATTCACACTCCTTTAAAGCAACTGGATTAGGGGGACGTTTGGAGACTATTGTTTGTAACATAGAATTCTTAACTGAGGCCAAAGGAAAGGAGCAAGCATCTATTCTCACTTTTAGCTAATGTATTCTCCATGAGAACACTTCTTACAATCGGCTATTGGCATACGAGGCTTTCCAGATGCATATTTCTGCTTCCATTGCTCCCGATAGATGCTAATATGTACTGACTGCTTAGGGACCGTGGTGGCATAGTGGGTTATACTTTGGGTTGCTAACTGCAAAGTCGGCACCTGAAAATCACCAGCCAGTTCCTTCCTGGGGAGAAAGCCGGGTCTTCTCCTCCCAGAAAGAGTTACACTATCAAACCCACAGGGGCACTTCTACTTCACAGGGTTGCAGGGGTGCTATGAGTCAAAATTGACTACTCGATGGCAGTGAGTTTTGGGGTGTGGGGTGTGTGTGTGTGTGTGTTTTGACAGCTTATATGCGAGACACCATTCTGAGCACTATTCTCAGTTATTTCCTAGCCTTGTCTCTATTTGCCTCTTCTGATTATAAATGTTGATGCCCTTTTATGTCTGGCTTCGTAAACCTAGCATGGTTCTGGAGGCCAGCTTGATTTGGTATCTATCCACAACTTTATATCTTTCTATTACCATCAATCCCGTTTTATTTGAGATAGCACATTTTGCTGTGTTTGCTGCTATGAACACAGGACACAGTACCACATTCCATCATTTCTATTTTCTTCCCTCCAAAAATTGAATTCTAATTTTCCAGAGTAAGTCAAAGCATATCACAAATAGAGTCCCAGTTTATACAAAACTCACTGCCAAACAAGTCACGCAGAACCATAGTGACCCTCGGGGACAGTCCCTGAGACTGGAACTCGTCATGGGAGTAAAAGGCCCATCCCTCTCCCCAGTTTAGACATGTACGGGTTTACTCCAAGCACAGACTGCTCAAACATGCTCTGCAGTCAGTGGATGGCTGCAGACGCTCGCCCTTAGGAATACACTTCTCAGTCTTGTTGGAGAACCTTACCAAAAAATGTGCCGTGGACAAACCCCATCAGGTCAGAGTCCAGTTTCTAACAAAACTCCCAGTTCACTGAAGCGTTGCAGCACGCTTCTAAGCCTGCGTCCCACCTCAAGTGATCACTTTGGCTGGATCGAGCATTTTAACGAAGGCTAGAGAGACCTCAGAGCTGAGTCGAGAGAGGGAAGAGCAGTCCACCTCCATGAAGCAAGAAACGAGCTGCAGCCCAGAAACTGGGAGAGATCAGAGAAGAACGCCGTCAGCTGCGTTAGCTGGGGCCACACACGTGCGGCATTTTTATTCCAAACGAGCACTGAGCTGCAGAGCCCAGAGCCCGGCAGGAGGAGTGTCCGCTGGCTCAAAGAGCACGTCGCCCCTCAGTCCCAGCAGTGTGAAAGCTCATGAAAACTGTTGTGTGGACCAAATTGACCTCGAGGCCAAGTCTTGGGTTTACTAATATGACCCAGAGAGCAAGATAGAGTCAAAGCAGGAGCTTCCTAGGGCATCTCCTGGGCCAGGTCAAGCCAGCTGGTCACAGCAGCTGCTCTGAGGGTTCCAGGGATGCTCTTGAAGGACACAGGGTGAACACTGTGGCTTATTAGGAAGAAATGAAGTCAGGAAAGTTGTGCCAAGAAATATTTTTCCAACACGACATGGTCTTACTCGTTGTCCAAGGATAGTCAGAGCCATCCTACAAGAATTCCATTGGGATCTTGCCCAGGATCCATTGGGATCCTGATCTTGCCCCTTCAGACTTCTTTTTGTCCCCCTCACTCAAACAGCATTGAAAAGGAATAAGCTTTGAGTCCCCCAAGATGTCAGCAACCGTCATTTCAGCATGGTCTAAATTGAAGAGCACAGTTCTTGGGGAAGGGTTAGAAACATCAACATAATATCCTCAGAAGTGTGTCCATTTAGACGGAGGAGGAGTCATCTTGATATTTTTGTCGCAATGATTTCTCTGATTTTGTAGCAATACTTTCTGAAAGCACAATGAAGAAAAAGGCAAGCCACAGACAGAGAAAATATTTGCATGTCATACATCTGATAAAGGATTTAGACTTATAATCAGTAAAGAAACTGTAGCTCAACAATATAAATGTAGGTAAATCAGTTTAAAAATGAACCCCCACATTGTTAACCATCAGGGAAATACAAAACCAAACCACAATAGGATACCCACTACACATCCACTGAAATGGTTGCGCTAAAAAGACTAACAATTCCAAGTGATCCTCAGCACGTGGTGCGTCAGGAATGCTCCTAGTGGCTAGTGGGAAGGTAAAATGAGATCATATCTTCTAAAGTTAAAAATACCCGTACCAAGAGACCTGCAATTTCTCTCATAGGTATATTCCCAAGAGAAATACAAACATGTCCAAGGGCTTCTGCTTCCAGAAAAATTAAGCAGCTGTACCTTTTTTCTTTTCCCCCTTTTTAGTACAGCTAAAATTCTGGAGACATTACATCTTCAACAAACAAAGACTCTGCAGGGACCTCAGCCTGAGAAACGGCAGTGCCGTAAATTCTGAGTTTTCTTTTTGCCTCACGTATCCAAGTCATGTATTCAATGGCTAAGCAACAGTCATCCATACCGTGGAATATTACTAAGAGCTCATGCGTGCAACAACTTGAATGGATCCGAGATCAATATGCGAAATGGTGGGAGGAGAAGGAGACAATCTATAGTTGGACACTATATGCTTCTATTTTTGAAATGGCTAAATTATAGCGCGAGAAGGCAAACAAAGTCTTGGTTGTCCGAGTTTAGAGATGGTGACATGAGGAGAACTGGTAGGACTATAGAGGAGTAGAAATCCCTCACTCCCCAAATGGTACCTAGAGACCAAATGTTGGCATGTCCGTACAGTGGAAGACTGTTTACTCAGCAAAGCAGGACAAATTGTTAACATAAACAAAGCATAGATGAGTCTTATCAATCATTAATGTTTTGGTGAAAGAAGCCAGGCGCAAACAAAAACTGCGCACGGTCTGATTCCATTTCCATGAACATCTAGATGAGGCGCGCTAATGACAGCAAGCAGATCAGTGGTGGCTGGAGACCCGTGGTCGGGAAGGAGAGCAGCTGAACACAGGGCCATGAACAAACTTTGGAGAGGCGAAGACTGGGGTGTCTGGATTGTGGCAGTGGGTACCCCACTGTGTGCGATTGCCAAAACGAATCACACTGCTGGCCTAAAACGGGAAGTGGACTTAAGCAGACTTTACTTCGTATAAAGTTTTAATAAGTCAGTCCAGCACGCTAGTAACTGGAGTTCCAGCAAAAGAAAACAGGCTATGTCGTTTCTCCAGAGAAGAATGTGTCAGTCTGTTGCCCAGAGAGCACTTAGAAGCTGAGATATCTGCTTTCTGGAAAAAGAAGAGGAAACAGGTCCAGGGATATGGAATATGCAAACTTTCACTTTTTCCATGCCATTTTCAGTACCAGCCATCACCAGTAACGCAGTTGTGCTGAGTCTCCCGAAGTGTGGAGTTGACCAAGTTCGGTTTTTCCCAGGGAATGAACCGTTGTCTCTTGCTCCGGGAACTGTAGTCACGTGGCTAATGGGGGAGAAAAGAGCCCTGAAGCTCTAATCTAACTACTACCTCTATAGACTCCATTTCAGCCCCCGCTTTGTCCCTGCATGAGGAGGCTTCA